TCTTATGAACAGTTTATGGTAGCTCACGATTTCCCAGTACCCTTTAAAGAATTTAAATCCATCACTGATGCCATCCCTAGTGGAATCAGACAATTAATGAAATATCATCTGAGCTATGGAAACAAAGATATCAGAGAGTTTTCTCTTATGTTGGATGGGGTAGAACTGTCTGATAAAAAGTGTAATAATAAACACATTCGCCGACATCTGCAAAAGTGTAACTCCATTGTTCCAAGGGGGATGTTTTATTGGAATTCCTTAATAAGTAATGTTAATTGGAAAAAAACATGGTTGATTCCTCACAAATATTGTATCTCTAATAAGGCTAAAGAGGTCCACTTTAAACTTTTACACAATATTTACCCTACAAATAGTTTTGTTGCCAAATTTCTAGACATTGACACATGTTGTACCTTTTGTAAACAGAGCACTGAAACCATTCCTCATTTATTTTTTAATTGTCCAGTTACCAAAAATTTTTGGGATGATTTAGGTATTCATTTTCTCCATTCTCGAAATATAACTCACTCGTTCACCCTGAAAGATATTATCTGTTACTCTTGTTTTCCACAAGATGGCACCCTGGAGTTTGTCATAAACTTTATAATTTTATATGCTAAGTTTTTTATACACAAACAGAAATTTAATAAGTCTTCCCTATATTTTAAGCACTTTATTTTGGAACTTAATTTGCTTCTTAAATCACACGAACTTGTGAAAAACAAGAAGAACAGAAAACTTGTTTCTCAATATTTTGACCTATTCCCCAATTCCTCTTAACATCCTTATTATTTTTCCTCTTTCATTTACTATGTATGTATGTATGTATGTTTCTTTTTGTTGTTGTTATCATTTTTTATTTTTTTTTGTATTTGTTTTGTTTTTGTTTTTTTCTTGCTTCTGTTTTTGGTATGGTTTTGTCTGTACAAACGCTTGATTGTATATTGATGTTCTTCTTGTTTGTACTAGTTATTGTTATCAATATAAAAAAAAAAAAAAAAAAAAAAAAAAAAAGCAAATGGAGGGCAGGAAGTGATTTCTATATTTAGGAAGCACTTTAACACACTCAAAATGCCTATGTTTTGCGTCGTTTATGGTTGCTCAAATCGATCAAACCACGAGGAGTTTTTATCGTGTGCCAAAAGTTGTTGTTCATAAGGGAGGAAAGTACAAGAAATTGACAGAAAAACACAGGGAAAATGCCTTTTAAACCTACGTCTCTGCGGTCGGGAGGAGCCGAATGGGAAAATGCCTGTGTGTGTGTGCGCAGTGATCACTTCGTCAACTGTGAGTTAATATTTATGTGGCTTATAATTACATTATTCAGGTGTTTAAATACACTTATGTGGCTGTTTGTGTAACATAGCAGTTTCCGAACTTAGTTTGTAAAGTCAAAGTATGTCTGTAAGACGAGTTAGTTGCTGATATTTACAGCCTCGATGGAAGGCAAATCTCTCAATTCAGTTGAAAATCGGTCCTCTTCATAACGTAAGGATCACGTCCAACATATGTTTCGATTTTCTGTTTATATATTTCTCTTGTAATAGCTCCTAAAGTAGTACAGTACAGATTTTCCTCCATCTCGTCCATTGCGCTCTTCACTCCTTGCCCTCCATCTGCGTTCCGCGCGTCAATACAATCACGTGACTGCAAACCACCTATTGAATCCACCATTTTGAGAAGAGCTGATGTGTCTGAACGTTATTTTGAGACCAAACACATTTGATTAAAAAAGACATCATTGAACAAGGATGTGGTGAGTGTTAATGTTTTTTGTTTGTTTATGGTTGATGTGAGATAAATGCTGGTTTAATAACGATCGGTAAATGAGTTGCATGCAATTGTGTGACGAAGTTCTAGAAACTATGTGTTTTAAGTGAAGAGTTTATGTTAAAGTCTATATATGGTTTAATATTAGTTTTATATAAAAACTTCCTTTATGTGGCTGACAAATGTAATTTTATTTTGGTTATTGCTGTAATGTGATGATGCAGCTTATTATTGTGTTAAAATTATTTCCCTCTGAACTAAGATAGTAGCCTAATTTTGTTACCATTTTGACCTAAAATACAGGTCAGGTTTTTTGTTTCTGTTGAAAAATTTCTGGATATTTCATTTGATGGCGAGCCCCCCATGGATCTGGACGCTGGACGATCTGATTGAGTAGCCTAGGCCTAAACCCTTATTTTGTGAAATCCATTTCTTCAACCTTGAGGTGGGATTTTCACTCTATTTTCTTCACTATTTTTCCTATCACTTGAGACAGTGATTCAAATTTTTCCTGGATCAAGTTCAAAGGACTGGACATTTTGTTTTTCCCCTAAAAAATTCAGCTTGAATTTTATGGACTTATTTTACTCAATTTTTGATTGATTTAGTTGTTTTTTTGTATCCATACCAAACTGTTGAATGAGTGTGAACAAACTTCATTTGATATACAAGAGTGGGTTTATTTATGAAGGTGCACCTATAGGATTTTGTGAGATCTAACTCTTTTACATTTTTTTCTCATACCGGTATATTGTCCATTGTATTTGTATTTTTTTTTATTTCTCTCTTGTGATTGTTCTTATTGGGTGTTCACGACAAATTAATTTCATTATTATCTTTACATTATAAAAAGTAAGTCGACTGATATCAAAATAAGTTCTGATTCATTTTATCTGTATATCTTTAAGCAACGATTATTTCAGGCTCCCTGGACGAACCTAGTGGTACACAAAAATAGACTACCAATTGCAACTAGGTGTTGCAGGTGTTACAAGTGCCAAAGTAGGTACCAAATGTACAGATTGAAGGCCTAAGACACGAAACGAGCGGTTTGTGTGAGAAAACGAACAGCATTTATATCGTTTTTACCTCTTGTAACCACAGCCATGTCCAACCAATCTGAAGACACGGGCGCTTCGGTCTAGTAGTACCTGCATAGTGACTAGGGGGTATAAACACCAGGAAAGTCTGCTAGTTCACTTGGTTTGTTCCGGACCAAATACAATATTGTTTTTTTGGGGGTTTTTTTCGGTGTTGTTCGCCTTCACACTGCACCTTTTGCAAGTAAACCAAAATGTACCACGCTGCATAAACGGGTTGGGCAGCCAGTAAAAGAAATCCAAGCAAGGGACTGTTGCTTGTATGCAAAAACCTTGTATGCGTTTTGGCCGTTCGTTTACACCACAACAGCGTTTTGTGTGCCTGAAAACTCAAAGTTTTTTGGAAAATTTTTCCTCAGAGATTTCACTTTATTTCACATTACTTTAAGGATTGAACAATTATGATTTTTTTTTTTTGTCAGTGTAGATTTCTTAAGTTAAAATGGATGAATGATCAAAATTTTATTAGTGAATTCCTGCAATGTAATTGTTTAATATATACACAAATTATGTATAGTATATAGTAAACACAGTTTATATATAAATTCTGTATATAAAGTGCATTGCATGCTCACATACAGTAAAATGTCTTACATGTGTTTACAAAAACTAAATTGATAAACAGATTTATTTCAACCAGCAAGGCAGAGGTAGCTGGTAATGTTAACATACTCAGCCAGGGACGTAATTTGCGGATGGGACGGGTTGGACATGTCCCCACCACTTTTTAAAAACTGTCGCGACACGGATGTACCAATAGAAATAAAGTTTTCTGTGTGCCTTAAAATTACAGAGCGTTTATTTTGTTGGTTTATTAAATAAGAGGCGAACTAGCACTGAAATATATATATATATATAGTATATATTGTTTTAATCAAGTGATCAAAGTGCTTGTTGCCGCCTACGATTGGTGGCGCGGTTACAGTACATCTCGTGACACATGCACGTGTGTTTTAATCCGTTTACTGTACGTTCACACCGCCGCCGACTTGAGCTTCCAAAGTGGCTGGAACTCATTCCTTTCCAATGGAAGCTGGCTTTTCTCAGCTGCAAGGAGCGTCAAATCCATCGGCGTCGCGTTTTGAGCGTCAATCAGAAAGTAGAAAGAAGCTCAACTTTAGGATAATGAGCTCCAACGTGGTCCAGCGGCAAGCAGCGGCAAAACGCCAGCAACCAATCGGAATATAGACGTCCTTCATGCTGGCTGATTCCGGAGATACATTCAATGTAAACTTTCGTTCCAACCAAAACATTAGCTCAGAGAAAATGGAAGAGAAGCTAATCATCGCCGATGCTGTGTTTCCTACTGGTTTCGTATCATTTAGGACCGTATGAGCGCAACTTTTATTTGAAATATTTACGAATGCTTGTTTTAAAGCAGAATGCAATTAATTTGCTCACGGTGACACCGTTTTGACCGCAATAATAATAATAATAGCTAACAAATGTGACAAACGGTTGTAAAAATGCTGCCATTAAAAAGGTTTCTTCAATGTATTGCTTGTTTTTTTTTCTGTTTATTACATTTCATGTTGTGACACTTCTATTCTCCCTGCAACGTCAGAGCGTTCAAAGCGTCCTTGACCGGGCGGCCAGAGCTTCTTTGACGCTGAAGCCGCCGGCTGTGTGAACGTACAGTTAGGAGTGACTCTTTGTTCGTTCCGGTGAAATCACAAAACAAAAATACACACAAACATGCCCCTGCTTGATATTAAACAACCACTGATGAACATATTCAGTTTTGATGAAAAACAAACAAAAAACTACACAAGTGCAGATTACAACCAGAACATCTGACATGCTCGGCAAAAGTTCTGCCACTGGACCATTGGACACACACATCTATAAGTCGGATGTATGTATTTATTCAGGTGATTCATTCATTTATACACACGTGTGCACTGTGCACACACACACACCTGCCCCACCCACTTTTTAAAACAAAGTTACACCAATGTATTCAGCACACGAGTTTCAACATCCTTCCTTGGCCCTCATCTAAGCTTGTAAATCACAGTAGCTGCAGGTCTAACACAGGGCTTGTGTTCTTGCAGTCTTTGTGCTCTACTTATATACTACCACCGATGACGTAAGCTAATTGAAACAAACATTTTAAAGAAAATCCAGTCACTCACTGAGATAGATGTTTAATAGACATAAGTAGATATTTTATTACAAACTTTTTAAAACAGCCATGAACATTCTACAGTATAATAACTTTTCATTTATGCAAATAAAATTAATGTGGTAGTTTTAACGCAGTTATTTTGTAATGTTAAAAAAGTGCAGATTTTCAGTTCCTTAACCCAAAGAACATCAGAGCAACAAACAAGCTTTATTCATATTGTGTCTCATATTATCTTTGCTGTAGAATCTGAAGTTCAGCTGGACTCACTGAAACAGGAAGTAGAAGAGCAGAGGAGACACCAGCAAGAGGAAGCTTCCCTTATACACTCCATCTAAACAAGACAGGAAGGACATTAGTTGTTTGTATAATTTGCTTATTTGAAGTTACTGTGCATGAAATCAAACTGCTAGCGCATGATCAAACAAAGGCCAATACCTGCAGCATTGCAGAGGTCAGTGTCACAGCATCTCATAGTCGTTTTCACTCCTGCAACTTCTACAGTCCCTGGCACACAGACTGGTGCACACCCTTTAGCTGTGGTGAATTCTGTAGAAAAGACATACATGTCCATATAATTATAAGATGATAAAACAATTCCAAGATCAGCAGTTAACAAATGGAAACTATCCCTCTAGTGGTATCACTTATACAGCAGATTTCCACATTACTGGACTTACCATTAGGTTTTTCCACCGTAGTGCTGAAACATGTAGAAAATCCAAATGAGCATGTGTCCTCTTGTCCTTTACAGGAACTCGATGGAGACGTGCAGGAGTAACACTTGAGAGAATAACCTTACAGACAGAGAGAGAGAGAGAGATAGAGTTAGCGCTATAGCAAATAACACCGTGTCCTAACTACACACGACGCGATAAAATTCCAGCGACAGCAAGTGTATGGCAAGCCGGTTTAGCTTAAATTGTACCCAGCCTTACTCATCGGAATTGCATTTTTACTAGCAACAATTCAATTAGAGAGCTCTACAAATTAAAAAAAAAGTGTTTACTAGTAAGAATGCAATTGCAGAGCTCTCTAATTTAATTTTTACTAGTAAAAAAACGAATTAAAGATATAATTGCAGAGCTCTGTAACTGAATTAAAGAGCTCTGTAATTGCATTCTTACTAGTAAAAACTTAATTAGAGAGCTCTCTAATTGTAATTGTTATACTAGTAAGAAATGAATTGGAGAGCTCTGCAATTGTATTTGTTACTAGTAATACTTGAATTAGAGCGCTCTGAAATTGTATTTTCACTAGTATAAATAGAGTTAGAGAGCTCTCTAATTGTAATTGCTAGTAGTAAGAATTGAATTGTAGAGCTCTCTAATTGAATTGTTACTAGTAAGAATTGAATTATAGACCATTTCACAAGATGTAAACAACACTGGTCCAGAAGCACTTCCTGTTTCAGTTTGTAACTGTTTTCTTTATTTCACATGTAAAGAAAACATCTTACAGATGTTTGTTTAACTTTTTGATTCAGTTTTAAATGTTCTGTTGGTTGTATTTTATCCCAGCTTTTATGTAGTGTTAAAAAACTGAAACAGGAAGTGCTTCTGGACCAGTGTTGTTTACATCTTGTGAAATGGTCTATTCTCTAAATCAGTTTTTACTAGTAATAATTGCATTAAAGAGCTCTCTAATGTAATTCTTACTAGTAAGAATGCAATTGCAGAGCTCTGCAATTCAATTAAAGAGCTCTGCAATTATATCCCAGACAGCAAACTGACATTGAATCAACGTGGAAACGACGTCTCTCATGACATTGAAACAACGTTGATTTTGCTCATCAAATTAATGTTGAACCAACGTCAGACGCGGCATTCTTCAAAGCTAAATGAAAATCGAAAATTGGTTTACTTTCATAACGTTGAAACAACGCGTTGATTTCAAGTTGATTTTCCGTTAGTTTTGAAAGAATGACGCGTCTGACGTTGGTTCAACGTTAATTCGATGAGCAAAACAATGTCAGATCAACGTTGTTTCGATGTCATATTTCCACGTTGATTCAATGTCAGTTTGCTATCTGGGATTCTTACTAGTAAATATCGAATTAAAAAGCTCTCTAATCGTAATTGTTATTAGTACGAATTTAATTAGAGAGCTCTAGAATTGTAATTGCTACTAGTAGGAATTAAATTGTAAAGCTCTCTAATTGAATTCTTACTGGTAAAAATGCAATAATGACGAGTAAAGCCTAGTTCACACTACGTGATTTTAAGCCCGATTTAAGCCCGATTTGCAAATCGTTGAGTCGCCGACAAGTCAGGGTGTTATTGCATGCAAATCGCGGGCGATTAGCGGACGATTAACGCTCGCCAATCCGTTAGTGTGAAAGAGCCAACAACGCACCAAAGACAGCTCGCAGACACCTCGCAGACAGGTCACCGAGCTCAGAAAAATATCTAGCATGCTAGATATCTCGAGCAGTCGCGCGACTCAATCTCAGTGATGTCATGAGCACAGCCAATCATAGCAACGCATGGGTTGAGGACACCAGGTAAATCTTACTTTTTCTTTTCTTTTTTGCATTTTTTTTTTCTCAGAGCAGATCGTCGAGCAAACAGTGTGCAGCACTAGTTTCTGTCTGACGTCCATATTTGCGTATTGTGTTCTTCTCTGCAGTTTCGCGTCATTTCTGGTTCGTTGGTAACATGGTTTCTAGACCAGATAGAATCGTGTTGTTGTCAACTCGTTATTTGTTTGATTATTTTCAGGATTTAGACCGTAAACAGCTCTCATTGAGTCACAAATGATATGCTCTTATCATCCGATCGTGGTTGTATCTCTATGTAGTGCGTTGTTAACTCGTGTAGTGAGTTACCTCCTGTTGTGGATCAATCACGTTGTGTTGTGTGGTGTGAACAGCTAAACAACTTGAACACTCATGATTTCACTGAGAGCAACCCAGATAGCAAACTGATATTGAATCAACGTGGAAATATGACATCGAAACAACGTTGATCTGACATTGTTTTGCTCATCGAATTAACGTTGAACCAACGTCAGACGCGTCATTCTTTCAAAACTAACGGAAAATCAACTTGAAATCAACGCGTTGTTTCAACGTTATGAAAGCAAACCAATTTTCGATTTTCATTTAGCTTTGAAGAATGCCGCGTCTGACGTTGGTTCAACGTTAATTCGATGAGCAAAATCAAAGTTGTTTCAATGTCATGAGAGACGTCGTTTCCACGTTGATTCAATGTCAGTTTGCTGTCTGGGAAGTCATGTAGTGTGAACTGCACAGTTCAGCCCGACATTTTAAAATCATGTAGTGTAAACTAGGCTTAAGGCTGGGTACAATTTAAGCTAAAACGGCTTGCCATACAAGTGTGTGTCCACACTAGACGCGACCCGACTGTGAGAGATGCCACACATGCAGAACAGCGTGTGAGCAGTCTCTCTGTGAAAGTGCACTGTTGGCCCGCACTCGCATTGGAAATGGGTAAGGACATAATCAAATCAAGAAATAACATTATTAAAAATCAAAACATTAACAAAATATACTCATTGACTAATTTTGTCATGAAGTACAGTCATGTTTGCATAGAATTCATTTTGAACGCTACATGCTTTCAAAATCTGAGGTAAATTATCCGTTATCACTTGTGGCACAGTGACCTATTTTAACTAAAAATAAATAATGTGTACTCATAACCAGTGTAATTTCTTCATTCTGTCACACCGTGTCCTTACTTCACGCGACGCGATAAAATTCCAGCGACAGCAAGTGTGTCTGTCCCAGTCTATGGTCTGTCCACACTAGACGCGACGCGATCATGCCACACATTCAGAACAGCGTGCGAGTCGATCTCTCCGTGAAAGCGCACTGTCAAATCAAGAAATAACATTATTAAAAATCTATGACTAAATTTGTTATCAAGTACAGTTGTAGCATAGAATTCATTTTGAACGCTATATTACATGCTTTCAAAATCTGAGGTAAATGATCCGTTATCACTTGTGGCACAGGCACAGTGGCCATAGACCCCCTCACCCGGCCGCCCCCCGCCCCCTAAATTCACCTAAACACGGGCGTCAGTTTGAAATTTGCTGGGCACAGAGACATATTCGGAAGTGCTGGGTCAAACTTGTCAAACTGTGGCTTTCTGCTCAACCCGTAAATAAATCAATCGATCCGCTAAGATTTATTTGAGTGTTTCAATGGTCTAGTTGTAGATCTTTTGCCAAGAGTGTCAGAGGTTGCGGGTTCTTCTAATCCGCCCTCGGTACAGTTTTTTTTCTCTCTCTCATCAAAACAGCTGACAGCGGCGGCAACAAGCGTTCCTCTTGATTTCAAAACCAAAACATTTTAGCGCTAGATCTCTTATTTAAAACGAACTAAATTAATGCTCTGCTAGTTAACAGGATATGTTTTATTGATGTTTAAAACATTTTGTTTTCCGATATATGGTGACAAAGCACGTCAAGGAGCGGTCCATCAGTGCTTGATCACCATATATAGGAGGAAAACTTTTGGAATGGGTCAGACATAATTCTGACTTATTATGTTTTTTAAAAGAATTTCGTTTTTTATAAATTGTATTTCATTTTCATTTTAATCAATGCCTTACAAGTTGACTGGATTAATTTCGACATTTGCAGTAAAAACTTGAAATATAAATTCTCAGAAAATGCATTTAATACCAATATATTGAAACGGTGCGTTACGCCGACAGACGCCCCTGCACCCCACCCTTATAGTTCCCACGTCCCTGACAGTGACCTATTTTTAACTAAAAATAAATATGTGTAACGTTACTCATAACCAGTGTAATTTCTTGATTCTGTCAGCCGCGACGTCGCAGAAATAGGAACCGTTTCTAAATTAGAAACTTCGCGTGTCGCCGTCGCGTCTGCGGTTAGGACAAAAACTCTGATTAACATGGAAAAGATACCTTTTATCGCGTGTCGCGGCGTCGCGTGTAGTTAGGACACGGTGTAATACATTTCAATACTTGCTGTTTTCTGTACCTCCAGTGAGAGAAATGAAAAGAAGAACGACGGAGACCTGCAGATTCATCTTGTGTCAGGAGCTGAATGACTGTGCAGAAGTAACGCTTGAGTTTCTTGTCTGTTCAGAAAAGGGTATGGCAAGCCGTTTTAACTTTTAATCATCCGCAGGATATGAATTCTTGATATCAACAATGCCATTTTTGATATCAACCATTAAATTATTGATATCAACAATTAAATTATTGATATCAAAAAATGGCATTGTTGATATCAAGAATTGAATTGTTGATATCTGTAATTGTATTTTCACTAGTGAAATGTCACCATAGGCTGGCAAGCCGTTTTAGCTTTTATTCATTTCCAGGAAATGAATTCTTGATATCAACAATTACATTTTTTGATATCAAGAATTCAATTGTTGATATCAAGAATTACATTTTTGATATCAAAAATGTAATTCTTGATATCAACAATTGAATTCTTGATATCAACAATTGTATTTTCACTAGTGAAATGTCCCCATAGGCTGCTATTCAAAACCAATTGTTGATATCAAGAATTGATTTCTTACTAGTTGAAATTCCAATTTCACATATCAGAAATACAATTCTTACTAGTAACAACCTTTATTTATGATATCAATAATTCAATTGTTACTAGTTGAAATGTTATTCTTGATATCAACAATTGAATTGCTACTAGTAAAAATGTTCATTTTTGATATCAATAATTGACCCTTCGCTAAGCCCCGCCCTCCCTAGTTACTGTTGCTACGCCTGTCAAGCTTTCGCGGCTGGCCCGTCTATTATAGTGTGGATGCACCCGGTGTCAGACATTTCAATGAGATAATTAGAAATTTTCGGCGAACAAGTGAAATATCTGAGAGAGCAAGACAAAAGGGACTACAGTATGCATTCGAGGGATATATTCACGACATATGCAACCGATTAGAGAATAATTTCTTAAAAATTGAAGTTAAAGCCTAACGTTATAGTCCCAGCGCAAGCACCAGCGCCTCATACGCTGACCGTTCAAATGGGAAACACAAATTTAGGAACAGCTATATGTTCATACACAGCAGGGTATGTGAAAATAATCTTAATAATTATAAATCAAACAGCTAATCAATAAATCTTGTGGAATAACACTAATACCGGGAGAGCCGCGATCGGATTGGGTTCCACAAAGCTGGTGAACGATCTCAGCTTCAGTGCGGATAGTGAGGAGCTCCTGGTCTCTGCTTCGCTCCAGTTTGCAGGTATTTGTTCGTCTTTTCTTTGTTGATAACGAACACCAACTTTCTTCTAACAGCAACAGAGTTGCGCGATGGCACGAGCGTCCTCACTATGACACACCCTTTACGGCATTGGTCCTGGCTTTTGTTCACACAGCGCGCGTTCCGGGACTGATTCTGGCAATTTACTAGGTCCCCAACCCGGGATCAATCCCAGAATCAATCCCAGGTCGTGTTTGCGTTCACACAGAAGGCGTTCTGGCAATTTCCCGGCAATTTCCTGGGATCAACTCGCTGTGTGAAAGGGGCTTAAGATAAAGGGAGTCTTTCTTAGAAAAAGAGAAACTTAAGGAGGTCGGGTTTGCTGTGGAAAAGCATTATGCAGGGCCGGCGCTCCGCACATCACGCACTGCGCGTAGGGCACCAAGTGCTTGGGGGGGGGGGGGGGGCACCAAAAAATCTGGGTCGTGAAAAATCATCACAATAGGCTACTTGTATAAATAACAAATACAATATGTCTAAAGCATGTTAATATACAAAAGCAATACAAAAGTAATATAGGCCTAGACCAAATTAGTGAAGAAAAAGGTGAATCTCAATCGGGTTGGAATCTCCTGTGCCTGTCTCCCTCTGCTGGCCCCCCTTCCCCACCTCGCAGTGGTCTGTTCCTCAATCAGTGTCAAATTTGGCAGACACCTGATCAACATCAGACATGGCCTCGAAAAGGCACCAAGAGTCGGAGGCGGAAAAAAGGAAAAAGAAGAGACAGTGGGATGATACTCGTTTGCAGGTAAGACAATGTTTTAAATAAAAGTGTTAGTTTTGTAGGGGGGTTGTTAAAGGGGCACCACCAAGTATTTGTGCTTAGGGCACCCATATGGCTAGCGCCGGCCCTGGCATTTTGTCTCCCTCCCAGTACTTCTCCAGAAGCATTTTTAGATAATTACACAATAATTTCCTATTCCTAGTAATCCATTCTGCTCTTTGTCAACATATCTCGAATGTTGTCTCGCACATACACTCACGGAAATTTCTAACATTGACGTTATTGTTTGAGATAAGTCAATTAAACTGTAACAAGATCTCATTTTCTTTTGTTAACAGTTTTGTTATTCTACGTTCTACAGATCCTACTCTCCAAAAATTAAAAACACTGGGTTTAACTGGGTTAAAAACAACTAATTTGGTAACCCAGCACTTTCTAGGTAAATATTGGACATAACAAATTATGGGTTAAAATAACTCTACAAGTTGGGTTAAATGTTTTAACCCAGCAGGGTTGGGTTACATAATTTAACCCAAATTCTGCTCACACTGACTGAACACTGGGCTAATTTTAGCTCATAGTGTGTTATTTCCATTTCAAGCTAATGTTATTCATATATTTTATTTAGTCTATATAAATGATTTAATTATATATATTGGTAATTTAGTAAGTGAATTGACTTTAAACAGTCTAAATCAAGTAAGGAATAATTGACGACAGGCCGTTGAATTATTAGAAAAATAATGCAGACCCGAGGTGGTAATGCGGTCATGTGAAGCTTGGGAGTTAAACCTCGGGTGTGTCATCAATTATTCCTCTTATACTACAGTTAGCACACCTCAAAACCTTGTTCAGATGATTCATATCAAGACGTTTGTCAAGTTTTTGATATAAAGCACTCTTGTATGTAGGACTAATTTCTTACGCATCTAATCCCATGCCTCCGTTGCTAATTCCTAAACGTCATTTTAGAGTTAAGTAGTAACAGAGGTTTGAGCCACTGATAGCAGACTAATGTAATGATGGGGGACACACTTACAATTCACTGAAATATTCGAAGACCGACTGTTTCCATCGACTGTAGCAGGTCTTACTAAGGTCTTACTGTGTGAACCATAGACTGTAAAAAATAGGTGTGAACACAGACTGAACTCGCGTTTGGGCATGATCAGTCAGAAGTATCAAATTACATTTATAACTGGCCTTAGTAGGCCTAAACTAGTCTGTCCCGGCTTTATGCAGTTATTAATGCAGTTATTAGAGAGAGAGAGAGAGAGAGAGAGAGAGAGAGACATTGAAATAATGAGACAGAAAAGCATGTGCGTCAATATTATTATTTATTTATTAACTTCGTTTTAATTAATTTGTTCATTATTGTTTTCTATAATTGACAGTAGATAACCCAATAAATGAAACACACAAAGCACTTTTTTACAAGTAGGCCAATCAATAATTATTTATTTGTTATATTATCTGGAATATTTATGAAATTACGTGCAGCAGGACTATTAATTTATTTATATAGCCTTCAGTTTAATTTTCTATTTAGCCTATTATAGATAGGACTATACTTTGTTTATTAAAATTAAACTGTATGTGTCCATTGATTGTGAAGTTAGACATCGAAAATTGCAGATCAAGCGCAAGGGGCTGCATGTCTTCTCTTGTTATGAATTGTATCCTATTTTCCGTTAACTACGCGCAGTGATATGGAACTGTAATGCGGTTCAAACTTGCCTGAAACTACTTTAGCCGTCAAAATAATTGCACACCTTTAGAACGTTCTCAACCAATCAGAATCAAGCGTTCAACAGCCCTGTAGTATAACTGATTTGAATATCCCCAACTGAGCAAGCCAAAGGCGACAGTGGCAAGGAACTGAAAAACTCCCTCAGGTGACCCGATGGAGGAAAAAAAACCTTGGGAGAACCCAGGCTCAGTCGGGGGCCAGTTCTCCTCTGGCGTTTATGAACTAGAGGCCGAATTTACAGTAACTGTCACGTGAAAATGTATATGAATGTTTCTAAATAGACTTTAAACGCGAATCTGTGATAAATTGGTAGTAACAGCCCTGCTGATGACGTTCACATGCGCATTGAGAATTGATTCAATAGTTATGTGCGTTTGAATATATGCGCGCAGGTTTTTAAATTCCCTCATGCCTGAACAAACTTCTTGTCTATAAATTTGATACAGATTTTCGAATCACTTCAGGGTAGGGACGCGAAACGAATTCACATCGCTTAATCTGTAGAGTGGGAAAGGGATCCTCCATAGGGAGAGGCTAGTTGGCACTTCAGCACTGCATTGTCATCGTCATCGTGTCCAGGCTAAGGTCCTCGCCAGATCTGGATACGGCCTGGATCCGGCAGGCTGCGGGAAAACCTCGGGATAAACAAAGACACTAATTAGCGTAGATGCCATTCTTCTTATGATGTAACGAGTACATCAAGATTTAATGTATTATCTTTATGCTAGGGCAAAGCGATCTGTCTTGAAGAAAGCTTTAACAATATGTTGTTGGGTGTGAAAGCGCTGAAGCCATTAAAGGAATGGTTTGTTGATGTCATCCAGTTTCCCTTCCAAAGCAAACGCAAACTCCACCATTGTTCCAATGTGCATGCACTGCCGGTCAATGTTTCTTCAGAAAAAGAACGGGAAACTGTCATTGTACTTGTTTGAAATTCAGTATTGACTACACCCTGAGACTCACACCTCAAGCACAGATCAAGGTTGTTAGCACCACAATCAATCCAGTGAAATCTTTACAAAAAAATTAGTTTAGAAGAGTTTAACAGAGTACCTGTGCGTAATCCGGTCCAGGGGTCACATTCAGTCCTGTAGCAGCCAAAAGTTAAAAGCCGTCTGTTAAAAGATTAATGGTTATAGTTGACATGAAATGTCAAGCATGGACAGCAGGGAGAGTAATATTTGAGATATGGCAGTAAACTCAATTGTAGTTTTTTTAACAAAACTTGTTTAGATATTTAAGACATGTCTTGGAATTAAAAGAAAAAACCTTAGTTTAATTATGGTATAATGGGTGTTGGTGTGGATGGATTTGTAATGGTCATTTGATTTACCCTCAGCACTTCTCTCATTTATCAGTAATGAAGAGACGGCACCTTCACAAAACTTCCCGTCCTTGTCCTCTTTCTCATCGGCATCTCATTTTCCTCAAATGGTTGATGCTTTTCAGCCGCATCGACTCAATCTGGATACGACCTGGACAGAGAAACAGAGTACCTGTGCGTAATCCGGTCCGTCCAGGGGTCACATTCAGTCCCGTAGCAGCCATGTATGTCCATGTTTTGATCTTCTCCAGTCCATTAAATTTGGTTTTTGACAACAACTGTTTTGGGGAAAAAATAATTGGAGAAGAAAAATATACATTTCACCTTTTGCCATTATTCAGAGTAACAGAAATACAAGTTTTCACTTTCACTGATCATCCACATTCTGACCCTGACCTCAGCTGCTGCTCCGACCTACTCCTCCTCTTCTGTCTCTCCTGACTATCGCTTCCCTTTCTAACAGGTTGATGATAAACATACATTTCACATATAAGAGATTTGACCTTTTCCTGTTTCACAATAAACTAAGAACATATCAAACAAATTGACAAAAAAAGTGTCTTCCAAATATTAATATACAGGTGAAACTCGAAAAATTAGAACATTGTGCAAAAGTTCATTTATTTACGTAATTCAACTTAAAAGGTGAAACTAATATGTTATAGAGACTCATAACATGCAAAGTGAGACATTTCAAGCCTTTATTTGTTGTAATTGTGATGATTATAGATGAAACCCCAAATTTAGTTAGAATATTGTGAAAAGGTTTTCATAGCTGTACGCCATAATCATCACAATTATAACAAATAAAGGCTTGAAAAATCACACTCTGCATGTTATGAGTCTCTCTATCATATATGTTTGACCTTTTAAGTTGAATTACTGAAATAAATTAACTTTTGCATGATTTTCTAATTTTTCGAGTTTCACCTGTAAATCCAAATTCATTTCTAGATTATTAGGGTCATTACCTTAAACCAATTATGGGAAATGATTTGCTCCAAGCCAATCCGCCGTTTTGGGTTTTCCCGCAGGAGGCGTCGAATCAGGTCGCAGCAATCTGTGAAGAGATCTTAAACTTTACACCTGCTGTCTTTCTATTAAGCTGTGAGATTAGACTACGCTATACTGTACGGTTAAAAAAAACTGGAACTGGTAACAGCCATATTTTATGAAGCTTTCTGGTTTTGGTGTTACTGTTACTTCTTTGTTTCATTTGTTCTATTTTGGTGATTTGAAATTATAATTGATCATCTTTTTTGTGATGAATGCAATTTTACCTTTTGACAAGTGACGCTCAGACCACATGTCATCATTAATCCTCGGATGCTCTTTGGCTTCTGGTAAGCGTCCACAAACCATTACGAATAAGAGCATTCCCAGAGACCACACAGTAGCTGGTTCAGCGTGGTACTTGTGCAATGTGTCGAGCTCAGGTGGACAGTACGTTATGGTGCCTAGAAAGAGATTTGTCTGATGGTTAAGCTTGAAATCCCATAGCATGTTTTCTCTAGGTGACGATACACGGGGCAACTTATTGAGCAATGTTGCCGTTAACAGGAAACCAGGTGAGATACAGGGCCCATGACTGATCTAAAGTACCCAGATAGAAATTTGTTGCCCATTCTCAATGAGAAAGCGCCCAAGGAACATCGCTCTGCAACATTGCTCAAAAAAGTTGCCCCGTGTATCAACACCTTCTGTATCCATTAGAGTAAATGAATAATTTAGTTGTTTTTATTCACAATTCTGGAGTTTTAAAAGTGAGATCAATCCATGGCCAAACCAGGCGTGAGGCGACATATTTAGTGAGAACATATTCATCTAGATTTAAAAAATAAAAACTCTTTTCAAACCTTGATTCATAATACATACCACAGAATTCGTCATAGGCGGACTTTTTCAGGAATCTCCCGCACCCGAAGTCAATCAGTTTGACCTCAAGTGTTTTTTTGTTGATCAGCAGGTTTTGTAACTTGATGTCGCCGTGGAAAACTCCTCGGTCACAGCACGTCTGAGCAGCCGTTGTTGCCTGCGCCATGATAGTCCGTACCGTTTCCTCCCTGAGGATGCGATTACGATTATCCCAAAAATGAAACACATCTTCGCAGTGTGGGGGACGCTCCAAGACCATGATATATTGGTCATGCTGGTCCTGCCAGTCCAGCAGTTCAATGATCTCTTTAACTTTGGGGTCCCTATTAGCAGCGGTTAACAGGCCGACCTCTAATGGGACGGGTGTAGGATGACCAGGCTGGAAGAAAGATCATTGTTGATTAGAGGATTTTTGTAAGATTTTAGTATAAAATATGTTTGTCCAGTTTTGGAAAAAAAATTGTTTTCATGATCAAACTTACAATTTTGACAAATTGCATGCTCCTGAACTTTTTGACAAATTTCACTGCCACCTGATCAACAAAACAATAAAAGGACTTGAAATGGATAGTGAGACGAAAAAGAATTCGCTAAATTGATAAATGTAAGAAATGACTATACCTCAAGACCATCCTCCAAGCGCTTCCCTTCATAAACCTGGCCGAATCCTCCCTCACCAAGCTTTTTGCCGATTTTAAACCGGCTGAGAATGTCGCCTGTTAAAAGATTAATGTTATATTTGACATGAAATGTCAAGCATGGACAGCAGGGAGAGTAATATTTGAGATATGGCAGTAAACCCAATTGTACATTGTAAAAACACTTAAGTTTAATTTGAATATAATTCGTGGTGGTGTGTGGATGGATTTGTAATGGTCATTTGACTTGCCCTCACTTGTCCTTGTAGTCGCGGCGTATCTGAATGTTGACGGTGTGAATCTGTAACGGAAGTCGCACACTTGAGCGAGAGGCTTTCTCGTCAGTGCCATGCTGGCAGTTGTCAGTGTCCATTTGGCTAACTTCATCATATTTACTGCAGAATAAACAACGAGAAGACTGATGGACGGTATGTGTTTCACACGGCTAAACTAAGTTAGCTGACAAACACAACACAAAGAACCATGACAACGCTCAACTTCTTTATGACGTCATTTTCGAATGCGCGTGAGACTGAAGCTGAACTCATTGCGGGGGGGCGCGCAAGATGGCGTCGTGAGCACATGTGTTGAAACAGCGCTCATCAACAAAGTTTATTTTAAGTAATAAGACGGACTTTTTTATTTTAGTTTGGGACCTATTTCGTTGTTAAGTACTACTCGGACGTGCATGTGTGAGGAAAATGTCAACTGATAAAAAAAGGATAAACTTTGCGACAAAGAAGAAAGAACTAGTAGTGGTTGACACGGAGGCGTCGTCAACCTGCTCTGCTCCTGCTCCTGCTCACAACGTCCTTGTCGACAGTTGCCACGATTACTGTGATCCTCCTGGTGAGAAAATTGAATTTTCGGTGATGTCAGAAGCCGATTTCCCCTTGCTCCCTGAGACTCCTGTGAAGCCTCCTTCGAAGAAAGGCCGGGGTGAGTCCGCTGACGACATCATTTCTAAACTCTCTGAGCTCATCAACACACGGTCTGATAAGTTGGAATCGATGGTTACGGTTAACACTTCTCAAATTGCCGATCTTAAAGAAAAGATCAACTCCGTGTGTGATGATGTGAATGAGGTGAAGACCAAAATTTCCCAAGTTGAATCATCACTGTTGAAAGAGAGTAATCGGATCGGCGCATTGGAATCGCGCGTCACTGAGTTGGAGCGATATTCCAGACGTTGGAATTTGAAATTGCACGGTCTGTCAGAAAATGTCGACGAGAAAAATGTAAGAAGAGAAGTGGTTTGCATTTGTCAGAAGTTACTGCCGGATCAAGCTGACCGTCTGGCAGATGTGATCGACACTGTGCATCGTGTTGGAGTAAAGAGAGTAAATTCTGCCCGCGGTGTAATCATCCAGTTCTCTTCGCGTATACACAGAGCAGCAGTGTGGGCAGCAGCCAAAAGCTCCGTTTATCTACGGGAAAATGGTCTTCGTTTCAGAGAGGATCTTTGCAAGGCCGACAGAGATAGTAGAATGAAATTGTGGCCGTTAGTCAACGAGGCACGGAAAGCAGGAAAGATTGCCTACTTTGTAGCCGGTCGGGCCTTCGTGGAGAAAAAAGAGATCTTTCCGCCAGGTTGAATTCTCTCAATTTTGAGATAAGGTGTCTTGTTTAGCTACATGCTTCCTTGGTTAAAGAAAAGGAAAATGTTCTCCTCGCCACTTTTTTCCCCTTGCTACTTGTTTTTGCCTACTTAAGTTCAATTTAATATTGGTACTTTTTGCAAAAGGTCATTTTTGACCAGGACCATATTTTCATAATGTTCATATTTTCGAATATCCGTTTCCTACATAACTATAGTTTTTTTTTTTTATTTTTATTTTTTTTATTAGACATTATACAAAACATACAAACAATAACATGACATCCAAAAAGACAACAATCCAAAATTTTCCAAAAATAGTTTAACATAAATGAACAAGAGACTAAAAATAAAAAATAAAATAAATAAATAAATATAAGGGCTAAATTTAACTAATTATAAATATAATAGCTACGAGAAATTACAATCCAAGACAGTATTGAGGAAAGAAGAGAAACATATAATTCTTCACTGTTCAATTATTTTCAATTCTTTAGCAAATACAATTGTGTCCGAGCATTTCTTATTATCTATACATTTAAGAGATTCAATATACAACATAAAATCAGCCAAAAAAACCTTTAAACAAGGCTTAGAATTATTAAATTTACTTTTATGAATGTGAAATTTGCCAAATAGAATCATAAGATTAATCATAAAATTTACAGACGTAGTTTTTGACTCAAAATATATAATAACATCTTTGGGTGTTAATACACAATTATGACCTGATTTCCGTTGAAAATATATAGATAGATTTTCCCAAAATTTTTTAGAATGATGACATTCAAAAAAAAGATGTTTTTTTCTGGTTGATTCAGACAAAATGAGCAATTCTCATCAATCTCTGTAAATTTTGATAAAGTGTAATTATTAACATAAATGTTATGAAGAATTTTTAAGTCTATTTCTCTATATTTGTTCGGTATGCAAAACCGAAATGGAAGCAACCAAGCTTTTTTCCAGATAATCTCTGGGAAGCAAATGTTCCAGAAAAATTTCCCTCTTGGCTGAAAGGACCTATTTTTATAAAATATATTTCTAATAAATTTATTGGAGCATTTTTTACTATTAAAGTCCACACCATTTAAATAAAGTACAGGATCACTTCTACATATGTTAAGGGATGACATATGGCTTCTCATTAACATCATTAGACCTGAGGGAACGGCTTTTATCACAGAATAATATTCTCTATATTTAATAGGAAAATCCCACTTATTCATGAAAGTTTCATAAGAAAGAAACTGAGCTGACTGATCTAAAAGGTCAGATAAAAAGTAAATTCCTTTGTCTTGCCATCTCTGAAAATAAAGAGATTTCCGATTTACTGTAATATAAGCATTATTCCACAAGATTGCTTTATGTGGGGAAAAGTTATGTACATAACATAACTTCCAGGCCTTGAGAGCTTGTTGGTAGAAATTGGATAATGTCACAGGCAGTTTACTAATGGAGTAATCACATAATAACAAAAAATTTAAACCTCCTATCTTTTTAAAAATATTGTATGGAATAAAAAACCATATGGAGTCTGATTTAAGAAGACAGTTTCTGAGCCATTTGACCTTAAAGGTATAATTTAAATCAAAAAAATCCAAAAGCTCAAAACCACCTTCATTTCTTGGACCATGTAGAATCTCCTTTCTTAAATGATGATGTTTATTCTTCCAAACAAATTTAGTAAATAAGTCATTTATTTTTTTACAAATCGAGTCTTGGACATAAAGAGATAAAGCCGGATAAACAAATCTAGATACCCCTTCTGCTTTGGTTAATAGGACTCTGCCTATCATAGTCAAGTCTCTTTGAAGCCAGTTATTAAAGATGTTTTGAGTTTTTTTAAGTTTGGGGGAAAAATTTAACTCTTGTCTCTCCGCTATATCTTTTGTTACAGTTATTCCTAGATACTTAATCTTATTTTTAACAGGGATATTACATAAAAGTTTTTCCGTCGAATCATAAAGGCACATTATCTCACATTTATTTACATTCAGCATCAACCCCGAGGCATTGGAAAATGTACTTACTAACTGCAATGCAGCAGGCAACTGTTCCTTATTATTTAAAAAAAGAACAGTATCATCCGCAAGCTGCGTTAATCTAAGCTGTTTGTTGAAGACGGTAAGTCCTTGAATATCTGGAGAATTCAAAACTTTAATGGAAAGAAACTCAACTACAATGAGAAATACGAAAGGGGCTATAGGACAACCTTGTCGCACTCCTCTACAGATGGGAAATCGTTTAGAAGTGTTTGGATATAAATTAATAGAACTATTAATACCTTTATGAAACATTTCAATTATAGAAGTAAAACGTTCCCCAAAACCAAAAGATTTAAAAGCTCTATACACAAACTGATGCTCAATCGTATCAAACGCTTTGTGGAAGTCTAAGAAAACAATTAAGGCCTCTGATTCTACTAAATTTGAATAGTCTAACAAGTCCAAAATGAGTCTAATGTTCCAACTTATGTGTCGGCCAGCCATAAATCCAGTTTGACACTCATTAATAATTTCATCTAGACCTTTTTTCAATCGTACTGCATAAACAAGAGATAGCAATTTATAATCTACATTTAATAATGTTATAGGACGCCAGTTATCCAAGATCAAATGATCTTTATCGGGTTTTGGAAGGAGGGTTATTAAACCCTGTTTCATCGAAGTCGATAATTCGTTCGATTCAATACACTCCTTATACATTTCGAATAATCGATTTTCAATAATATCCCAGAAACAGAGATAAAATTCAACTGAAAGACCATCTGTTCCTGGCGATTTTTCCTTCTTCATTGAACGAATAGCTGTAACCATCTCTTGTTTCCTTAGTTCTTCATCACAAAGATCTCGAAATTGGTTAGAAATAGAAGTGACAGACTGTTGAACTGACTCAAAAAAGTCGGAACATTTATCAATTTCAAAAACAGATTCATATAACTTAGAGTAGAATGATTCCACATAATTTGCAATCAATTTTGGATTTGAGGTGATAACATCATTGATTTTAAGAGAGGAGATTGTTTGTCTTTTATAATTTCTTTTTTCTAGAGAAAAAAAATAACTTGTATTCTTTTCCCCTTTTTCTAACCACTTGGCTCTAGAACGGATAAATGCACCTTTTGCTATATTAACATAAATCTGATCAATTTGTGTTTTTATTGTCTCCAATCTAACTCTTTCGTCTTTTGTAAGATCGACTTTTTTCAAAAGAAGGTCTAACTCTGTCATGAGAGCCTTTTCCTTATTCAAATTGTTTTTTTTAACTTGCTTACTAAAATAAACAGCCAATTGTCTAACTTTAAACTTAAATAATTCCCATTTTTTAACATGTGACATTTGCTTATTTTCAAAAATGAATTGAGCAAATTTTCGAACCTGGGTTACAAAACCTTCATTACTAAGGAGATTGTTGTTTAATTTCCAATATCCTCGTATACTGTTATTTTTAACTTCAGTTCCAGAAAGAGTCAAAACAGCAATTTTATGATCCGAAAGAGGTGCATGACTGTATGTAACATCCATGACATAGTTAACAGCCCCTGGGTTAATTAACCATAAATCAATCCTTGATTGTAAAGACCTAGAGGTGTTACTCCAAGAATAACATTTTTCATTAAAATTCAAGAATCTCCAAATATCCACTAAGGAGAGATGGGCACATAAATCAGTAGTAAATTTAAATTTTGAATTCGAAAGCGTGTGAGGAGGGAAACGATCTAAAAAATCATCTGGGGCGTCATTAAAATCACCACCCAATATCAAGAAGGCACCTTGATATTTCCCCACCAGTACTGATATAGAATGAATGACCTCCGTAGACATAATTTTGGCTTGGGCTGAAGAATTATGACCATAAAAATTCCCTAAAACAAATAAAGAGTTATCCAATTTAACAACTA